TATCTGGTTCTTTAAATATGTAACCCATTAAAATGACTGATCCACGATTTCTGAACGTACTACATATCAAAGTTTTATTCCTATCCTTTTTTAGACAAATAATTATTATAAGTTAGTAAAAGACCTAACTAAATGCTGCTATTGCTTCTCAGATCACAAAGAGGAGCTCTGGTGACATCTTTTTCCAAACTGAAATGATGGTCCTAGGGCTTCTGGGATCAGTGGACTGTGAACTTAAAGCACAGCAGAGCTGGGGCTGCTCTTGAAGCCCTGCTGTCTCTCCTCTAGTAACAACCCCATTTCACTTGAGGTGACAGTGGTGTCTTTTGTTGCCCTGGAAATGGAATACAACAGGGGCTTTCCAATTTTTCTGTGGCAGAGACCTACAGACCAAAGTACATTTCACACTGGATCCAGGACACACATCAGTCTGAAAGCACAGACATGAACCAAATGTTTCCTAAAGCATTACTTACCCTTGCTAATAGCAACATATTCTCATATTCTTTTATACTTCATTTAATTTCATTTAAAAAAGAAAAAGATAGGAAAGAAATCTATTTCTCAGCCCATTAATAAGGTCAGGCACTAGACTAGAAGAAAAGTTTACCTACTGATTTTTCTCCCACCTCCTGAGCGTGCACAGCTTTCCGACAAGTGTCAGTGCCATCTACTGTGCGCTCTGGGTACTGCAATAGCCTTTTTTTTTTTTTAGAATGAGACTAAATCAGAGAACACAAAGAACTTCTTTCCCCACAGTGGAGATGGCTCTGAAAGCGTTTAAGGAATGACTTAGATGAGTGGCTAACACATTATCCCAGTTCTGAATTCTAAGACCACAGACTCCATGTCCAATCCCCAAAGAGAGGCTTTGCAAGCTACAGAATACCCCTCTGACTGGGGCCTCAGGAGCTAAACTGACCATGTAATTGGTTCTAGAAAGTGAAACGTTTTCATCTGAAACATCCAAATGAGCATTTTGTGAAAAGCTACTGTCGTCCATCAAATACAACACAGCCAGGGAGTCATCGCTCTACTGCCCTTGTCAATCCTACATCTTTTGCTACAGCAGCTCATTAGGGTTGACTCTATTCTAACTAGTTCCAGAAGCCCTTCAAGATGATAGCACAACATTTTTGTAGCCAGAGCTAGAACGTAGAGCTCTTTTGTGCTTCCTTGTGAATGATCCAGAATTTCCATGTTGACAAGCTACCATAATTTACAGAATTTACTTTTTATATTCAACAGAAGTAAAAAAAAAAAAAAAAAAAAAAAAAATTACCTATTTAGGGAGTTACAGCTCTGGATTCATTTCTGACCAAAATGTGCTTTTTGACACAAATACAGTTGGAAATATCTTTGTAGTTTCTCCACAGTCTGCCTAGATAATCATAAAATAACTGCATGGATATATTTGTGAGTAAGAGCATGTGCCCATTCAGGAAAACCAAAGAGATCAACTAATTCTACCATGGCCTTGAAATGGAGACACATCCAGCAGTTCGAATTTCCCCCAAAAGATTGTACGTGTGAAAATAAGAATAGAATGAGGAAAATTTAAAAGCCGATAATAATTTCAGTCACAACTTGGCAATTAGAATTTTATGAGATGTCTTTAATTTGGAAGCAAAGAACAATTAAATTGTTGAAAGCTGGAATTTTTTTTTTTTAACTCTTTGAGTGGAACAACTGATTTTCCCTAAAATACCTGACTTTAACAATTTTCAGAAAACATAAGTCAGGGTGTGGTTCAATTACACAGAGAGAAATTGTAGTGAAATCGTGTTCCCTGTAATAATTATCCACAAAGGATCACAGTGGAGCCACTCCTGCATTAAAATTACAATATCATATGTAAGTTATTAATTAACCAGAGATGCCAGGGGCTTGTCAGTTTCCAACTGCTATTTTGAGGAGAGCTAAAGTTTCTCTTTTTGCCAGTTATTATTAATATTATTAATATTTCAACAGCAAGGCAAGAAAAGGGAATGTGGTCCATTAACTAATGACTCTTGAAGAGAGTCAATGAATCCAACTTGCCCTAAAACTGCCAAGTGGTAGGACAGTCTCTTCGCATCTTGCATCATTTTCTGCCATCACCTACGTGTGATTCATGAGTCGGAAATTCAACCGAGACATATTTAATGTATATTTAGAGCACCCTTCCCAGCAGAAATTGGTGGGGCCGTTCCATCAGGCAGTTGGCAAGCAGTCACTTGAATTATTAAGAAATATGATTTCTCACACTGATTTATTGCACAATAGCAACTTCTTTCTTTTTGGTTCATTTATAAAACAACTCAAAATGCCAAATAGCTTTAAACATTAGCATTTTCACCTTATAACCTTACAAGTGCGTCACTTTAAACATCTGCATAAAAGTTCAGCTCGATGATAATCACCTGGGATTTACCTGCATGGTACTAAGCATAGACGTGAAAATATTACTGATAGGATCTCTGGCACTCTGAAGTGGCAAAGTGTAGCCTTCACAGATCCCTGTCAGTTAATCATCAATAGTTACCTGATAAGTGCCCACTTGCCATCATTCAAGATCAATCAGGCAGACACCACAGTGAGTTTTCTATCAAAAACACCTCCTCTATCTGGTCGATCCCTGCAGGTCAATGAGACAAAGTTGTGTGCTGCAGGCAGCAGGACTGTCCTAAGCTCCCTGTGCTCTCACCACGGGGCTGGGTGGCTGGGGTGGAGGAACATAGGATTGGGCTTCGGCTTCTCTAGGGACTGGTACATTAAAAGATGAAGACGTAAAAGGTGAGAAAATCATGGTTTATTTCCAATGTTTCCATTTCTGTTAAAAGTAATGCTTTCAACAGAAAAAAAAAAAAAAGCAGCAATGTAAGTGTGTAATTTACAAAATAATTTCAGGATTTGTTTAATCATTAATTTGTGGTGTGATCTGTTAATTGGATCTATGTCTAAGCTCATTTGTAAATGACTTCAAATATCCAAGCCTTCCCTCACCCTCTTCCCACCTCACCTCTCCTCCTCCTCCTCCCCTACACGGGTACATGCATGTAATGTCCTGCCCTAGAGGAGTCCTCAGCCTAGTTGGGAAGAAAACACCAACTCACAGGAAACAACAGAAACCATACAGAACAGAATAAAAGCAAGCGCTGATTTGTAAGTGAAGACTTAAGTGCTGTAGGACTTCTAGCTACAAATCCTGAAAACACGGAGTGGCTGTGATAATACGACTAGCCAACATCACACAGTAGTTTTTGCACATAAGGAGAACTAAATCAAAGAAAACAAGGAAAAGAAAGTTGAGCCTGTCATCGTGACACAGACAATAAAATCTCAGGTGACATTTTTCAATGGGGGAAAGTCAGTCAACTTCCAGTCTCCAAACCATCTTTACTAGCGAGCTTCCCACAATAGTTCTAGAACCTTCCTTCATTCCAACCAACCAGGACTCCAACAGACTCATAAACAGCATAGCTCTTGAGAAATTAAAGGGAGAACCCACCAACCGGCACCCCACTCCACCCCACCCCAACACCTCTGGCTCAACCAAGATGTGCTCAGGCCGAGAAAGCTGCCCCACCCCGCAGGCTTTGCCTGTCATTTTTAACCAGCCGACTCAGCACATCTCTCAGATGGGCCCTGCAAGGCTTTTTGGCAGCTCTTGGTGCTTTGCCTCTTCATAAGTCAATGCTAATAATGGTGGCAATCACAGGAAATCCACTCTGAGGCCAGATCTGACGTGTCAGGATCAATCACCATTTCCACTTAACTTCGAATTGACCCGGGTAAAAACGTGAGCGCGAGGGGCCCAGGCTGCACCTCTGACCTGGCTCCCCTCTGCAAAACTCGCGAAGTGGGTGCCCGAGGTGGAGCGGGGGTGGGGGGAGACGTCCCCGGGGGTCCCCACCCGGCCTGCTCTGCACATCTTAGTTCCTCATTCGCTCGCGCTGTGCAAATCTGTCTTCGGTCATTTGTGTCTCAAGACATCAAAATCCCCAACCAAATGCAAGCACCGAGACCTCCTAACGTGAGACAAAGCTTCGCGGTGTCCAGAAAGCCCCAGCGGGTGTGCGGTGCAGACCCAGCCGCCCCGCGGCCCCCGCAGAGTCCCGTCCGTGCCCCGGTTTCGCGCTGCGCGCATCCAGCAGGAAGGGGCTTGGGCGATCTCACCTGCCCTCTCTCCTTTCTGAAGACTCCGGGCCTCCTCACCCCAAACCCAGACACCCCCTTGCAGTTCCCCAGCTGTGAAAAGAGGAGGAAGCTGGCTGGGCCGGGGGCCGCGGGGGGCGACCTCCGCAGATGGCGGGACCCCCCTGCCGGCCACGGCAAAGGCGAGGCTTGTCGCCCCCACCGCCCCCAACCTTAGTCCTTGACACATCGTTGAAAGTCATCGAATCAAATCGGAAATTGGAGAAGGCGTTCGTGCGGGTTGGTGAGGTTTTGCGGGGACTTCGCCAGCACCGGCGGCGCCCCCTCCCCGGTCACCGTTAACCCCCATTCCGAGGGCACCGCCCCGCGACCCAGCCTAGACCCCCTGCGAGAGCCTCGCGCGCAGCCTCCGCGACCCGGGCAGGTCTTCAGTCCTTGGACGAACGCCTGTTTCTCCAACAATAAAACATTAAAGAAGCGCTTTGAACGCCCAGTGCTCTCGCGCCAGGCGGAGTAGAGAGGAACGACCGCAGCCAGCCCCGAACCCCGCCCGCCGCAAGCGCCGGAGCCAGGGCCTGGGGCGCCACTGCCTGGGGGTCCCGACGCTCGGCCGCCCCCGCTCCACCCGGGCCACCCAAGGGGCTGGAGGAGGCAGCGCTCGGGGTAACCGGGGGAGACTCGGGGCGCTGGGGGCTCTGGGGGAACTCACGGGGGCTCAAAGGAACTCGGAGACTCGGGGCCTCGAAGGGGACTCGGGGGGTTCGGGGCTCTCGGGGGGCGGGCGTGGGTTCGTGGACACGGGAAGCTCTGGGGACCCGGAGGCCCGGCGCGCCCCGCCCGCGGCGCCGCCCCCTCCGTAACTTCCCCAGTCTCCCGGGAAAGAGGCGGGGTGTGGGGTGCGGTTAAAAGGCGCCGCGGCGGGACAGGTGTTGCGGCCCCGCAGCGCCCGCGCGCTCTTCTCCCAGACTCGGAGCCCCTCGGCGGCGCCCGGCCCAGGACCCGCCCAGGAGCGCAGAGACTCCAACGCCGAGACCCCCGCCCCGGCCCGCCGCGCGCTGCCTCCCGACGCAGGTGAGCCCGTCGGCCCCGGACTGCCCGGCCAGGAACCCGGCACCGGGAGGGACCGCGAGACCCAGAGGGGTGCCCGGCGTGGGTCTCGGGGAACCGGGGGGCTGGACCAGCGCGCGTCCTGGGTCCGGGGACGAGGGCCGCCTTCCGGAGCGGGCGTTTCTGCGGCCGAGCTCCGGGGCTGGAATCGGGCGGCCGGGCCGCACTGGCCGCTGCGCGCCGGGGACGTGGACGCGATGGCACCGACCGGGTGCGAGCGGGGCCGGGTGCGCGCGGGAGGGAAGCAGGCGGGGGCGAGCCGCCAGCGCGAGGTTTGTGGTGCCGCCGATGTCCCTTTGGGGAACGTAGCGCAGCCGCGTGGCTACTTGACCCACTGACACCAAACGTTTTAAACTGACGAAAGCTTAGCTCCGAAGTCACGCTCCGTTTCGCGGGAGAAGCAGGAAGCCTCCGCGGCAGGAACTGACCTTTACCTCCGGGAGCGGCTCCTGCAGAAAAAGCGCCTGAGCCGAGGTCTGGGCGGAGTTTGCCTGGAACTAACGCGGAGCCCGCCGACCCCGGCCGAACCGGGGCCAGGATTTCGGTGGCTTCCCTTTTTCCTAAACACTTCACGAGGGTTTGTTTCCGGGCTGTGCGCCCCGGCTAGAAAGAAAATTTTTAGGACCCTTGTTCGCAAAGAGGTGGGTGCGGCTGAGACCCGCGTCTTCAGGACGGTTGCATCCGTGCCTCGATCCTGCCCCACTGGAGGAGAAAGGCAGCCTGAACAGCGCTCACCTAACAGCTGCTGACAGCTGGGCTCTGTGTCCATGCACCTGGGACTTGAGAAGGGTGGCACGGCCGTGTCCCCATGTGACCTCAGGTCCCTTTCGAAACTGCTGTGCAAAGCCTGTCACAATTTCAGACACTGGTGAGAAGGGTGGAAGAACCCTCTGGGGGCAGCCAGGCAAGGGCGACCACCCATCACCTAAGGGTGGAGAAATTAAGGGGTGAAGAGTCCCTTTTGTCGTTTCTGGAACTTGGTGATACACCCAGTGTCTTCCCTAAGGAACTGAACCAACTCCTCTGGCCTCTGGCAGCTCTCCAGGCGGTGCGCGGTGGCGTAGGCCGGGTAGGAAGCTGCATGTAACCGCCCAGGGTCGGGAGGCCAGGAGTGCAACTCCTCCTCCGACTTGAATATTGAAAACAGCTTCATCCTGCTTCTGAGCCCCTCTTAACCCATGACCCCCTAGCCCATTAGCAAATTAATTAGTAAATTAAAATTTACTCCCCTTCCTGAAAATGGATCTTTAAAACAGGTAGCTTCAGCTCAAGCTTTATAAAATAACAATATAGGGTTTCTTGGAACTGTATTTTTCTCAGCCGATGGTAACTGGACAGGTCTGTCGAAGGGTATACGACCTGGGTTTGGCAAAGGATAGAGGGCAAAGGATAACCCCTTTGGAAGAGGGCAAAGGATAACCCCTCCTCCTGCAGGCCCATATTCTTGGCCAGGTGTAAACCAGGAGAGAGGTTACTTCCGGGAGTATCCTGTTTTCCACTAGGTGAGGGCCAATGAAGAATGTCTAATTCCGTAAGATGCTTTTGTTAAAACCGGAATGTTGCTGCCCTCAGTGGTTCTGCTGTCGGGACGGTACTGGCCTGAGCCACAGGTGCTTTAGCAGGACAACCAGCTCACCTAAGGGCTTCCCAGTCTGGATTTCAATGGGTCAGTGCTGAGTCTTGGCTAAAATATTGTTTTTTCCAATGATGTTTGTCTTTCCCAAGCTCAGTGGGGCTAACTGCTTCACCAGCCTGTGTCAACCTGATGTAACTTTCTTGGCCACCTCTCTCCTGTCGCCTCTGACCAAGGTGACACTGCGTGGTTTCGGCCTGACCTTGGCAGTGACTCCGGGTCACGAAGACATTCACTACGACCCTGCTTCCGGAGTCCATCAGAAAACAGGAGGCAACTTGCCTAAAATGAGGAGAGGAGGATGCTTTTAAGTAAAAGGAGGAGGAGGGTTCACTTCACTACCAGCTCTGAAGGGTGGAAAAGAGATGATTCATCTGGATTGTGGAGAGGGTGGAATCTTGTTTAGGAGAGGGTTAGTTGTGGCAGGCAGGGTGTAACTATGAATCAGTGAAGATAGTTCACATCCTGGGATGAAAAGAAGGCCACGGGCTCACGGCAGGTTATCCACGGGCCTCTCCACATCCACTTGCAGTAAGGAGTGGGGGACTCCCCCAAGCTTCAGCACTGAACTGCAGTGCAGTGACGTCACTTAGTCGGCCGGTAACCGGGGGAGTTGAATTTTCTGTGCTTTTTAAATAATGTGTCTTTTAAGAAACACTTTGAAATTAAAACCACAGTCCACCATTATAATGCACTGTTGCAGCACTTGTCAAAACAGATATGCTAACTGAGTGGTCAGTGCCAGCCTGACAGTGAGGCCACCAAGCCATCCACAAAACCTACACGAAAGTCTATGCGCACAGTGGCTTTCCTCCATGAACAGGGCATTCATAACTTCTTCCTTTCATGTAGAAGGAAGCAAGGTGCTTTGTAAAATTTTAACTCGGAGTGCCTCAAATGTAAACTTAACCACTGGTAACAACAGTTTCACTGCTACACGCCAAGTCTGTGAAAATTAATTCAAGACGTTAAGGAAAGTGGCTCAGCAGAGAGACTACATAGGGGAGCTATAAGTTACATCTTATCCTCACGGTTCTCCTGTACTTGGCCTCTCAGCCTTTGAGCAAGGTTGGCTCAAGCTAGTATCAGCCCCAGTGGCACAGCCAAAACTTGAGACTGCAAATCAATGCAGCTGCTGAACACTGAGTAACTTGCGCAGAGTCAGGAGGACCCAAGGAAGCTCTGCAGAGGATGCCAGGGTCCGGTCAGAACCCATGAGTGCCTTTCAGCTAACGAGTACTTTGTGACACTCCCTGACACAGCAAATTTTTATGATAGGTTTAAAGACTGGGTGAATTACTCAGGTGAACAAGCTACCGTTTATCAGAGAACGCCTAAAAACATGTTCGAGAGGGTTTGGGAACTATACATTTAATCCTGTGACAAACTAAGTTGGTTCGGTCTTCACCTGTTTTGGTGAGGTTGCATAAGAGTTGGTGTTTGCTCAGGAAGAGATTTAAGCTTGCTTGCTTACCCAGACCCAGAGAAGTCTCCCTGTTCCGTCCTAACTAGTGATTCCTGTATTGTGTGCATTCGTCTTTTCCAGAGCACACCGCCCAGAGTAGAAGATGGATTGGGGTGCGCTGCAGAAGATCCTGGGGGGTGTGAACAAATACTCTACCAGCATTGGAAAGATATGGCTCACCGTCCTCTTCATTTTTCGCATTATGATCCTCGTTGTGGCTGCAAAGGAGGTGTGGGGAGATGAGCAGGCCGACTTTATCTGCAACACCCTGCAGCCCGGCTGCAAGAATGTGTGCTACGATCACTACTTCCCCATCTCCCACATCCGGCTGTGGGCCCTGCAGCTGATCTTTGTGTCCACGCCGGCGCTCCTGGTGGCCATGCACGTGGCCTACTGGAGACATGAGAAGAAGAGGAAGTTCGTCAAGGGGGAGATAAAGAGTGAATTTAAGGACATCGAGGAGATCAAAACCCAGAAGGTCCGCATCGAAGGCTCCCTGTGGTGGACCTACACAAGCAGCATCTTCTTCCGGGTCGTCTTCGAAGCCGCCTTCATGTACGTCTTCTACGTCATGTACGATGGCTTCTCCATGCAGCGGCTGGTGAAGTGCAACGCCTGGCCTTGTCCCAACACTGTCGACTGCTTTGTGTCGCGGCCCACGGAGAAGACTGTCTTCACGGTGTTCATGATTGCGGTGTCTGGAATTTGCATCCTGCTGAATGTCACTGAATTGTGTTATTTGCTAATTAGATATTGTTCTGGGAAGTCAAAAAAGCCAGTTTAATGCATTTCCCAGTTGTTAGATTAAAAAATAGACAGCGTGAGAGGGACGAGGCAACCTGTGCTCAGCTGTCAATGCCCAGTCGCCAGCATTTCCCAGCACAAAGATTCTGATCTTAAACGCAACCATTTGAAACCCCTGTAGGCCTCCCGTGAAACTCCAGATGCCACAATGGAGCTCTGCTCTCCTAAAGCCTCAAAACAAAGGCCTAATTCTATGCCTGTCTTAATTTTCACTTAAGTTAGTTCCACTGAGAGCCCGGGCCGCTAGGCGTTATTGGTGTAAGGTACTTTCATATATATATATTTTTTTTTTTTTTTTTTTTTTTTTGAGACGGAGTCTGGCTCTGTCGCCCAGGCTGGAGTGCAGTGGCCGGATCTCAGCTCACTGCAAGCTCCGCCTCCCGGGTTTACGCCATTCTCCTGCCTCAGCCTCCGGAGTAGCTGGGACTACAGGCGCCCGCCACCTCGCCCGGCTAGTTTTTTGTATTTTTAGTAGAGACGGGGTTTCACCGTGTTCGCCAGGATGGTCTCGATCTCCTGACCTCGTGATCCACCCGTCTCGGCCTCCCAAAGTGCTGGGATTACAGGCTTGAGCCACCGCGCCCAGCCTACTTTCATATTTTAAACAGAGGATGTCGGCATTTGTTTTTCTTTCTCTGAGGACAAGAGAGAAAGGCCAGGTTCCACAGGGGACACAGAGAAGGTTTGGGTGTCCTCAAGGGGTTCCTTTGGCCAATTTCCCCCACATTAAAGGTGAACATTGGTTCTTTTATTTGCTTTGGAAGTTTTAATCTCTAACAGTGGACAAAGTTACCAGTGCCTTAAACTCTGTTACACTTTTTGTAAGTGAAAACTTTATAGTATGATAGATTATTTTGATGTAAAGATGTTCTGGATACCGTTATATGCTCCCCCTGTTTCAGAGACTCAGATTGTGATATGTAAATGGTGTGTCATCAGCTACTATGATTTAATTTGAAATATGGCCTTTTGGTTATGAATACTTCGCAGCGCAGCTGAGACGCTGTCTGTTGCATTCACTGTGGTCATAGCACCTAACAACATTGCAGCCTCAATCGAGAGAGACAGACTAGAAGTTCCTAGTGATGGCTTATGATAGCAAATGGCCTCATGTCAAATATTTAGATGTAATTTTGTGTAAGAAACACAGACTGGATGTACCACCAGCTACTACCCGTAATGACAGACCTGTCCAACACATCTCCCTTTTCCGTGACTGTGGTGAATGGCAGCCAGCATCAGAAGGAACGCTGATTTAAAGGGGTTGCTTGGGAATTTTATTGACACAGTACCATTTAATGGGGAGGACAAAATGGGGCAGGGGAAGGAGGAGTTTCTGTTGTTAAAAAACAGATTTGGAAAGACTGGACTCTAAATTCTGTTGATTAAAGATGAGCTTTGTCTACTTGAAAAGTTTGTTTGCTTACCCCTTCGGCCTCTGATTTTTTAAGTGAAAATATAACTAGTAACGTGAAAAGAATAGAAGCTAAGGTTTAGATAAATATTGAGCAGATCTATAGGAAGACTGAACCTGAATATTGCCATTATGCTTGACACGGTTTCCAAAAAATGGTACTCCACATACTTCAGTGAGGGTAAGTATTTTCCTGTTGTCAAGAATAGCACTGTAAAAGCATTTTGTAATAATAAAGAATAGCTTTAATGATACACTTGTAACTGAAATAATTTTGTAATGTATCAAATACACTTAAAACATTAAAATATAATCTCTATAATAATTTAAAATCTAATACAGTTTTAATAGAACAGCAAATTTTTATTTCATCTATCACTATTTTTATGTAAGTACATTAATGTTTTATATTTCATAACATGAATGGGTAAGTTGTCAGGGTGTCTGCCCCCACTCTGCCTCAGTTACGGAAAAGCTTCTGTCGCCAGGAAGATTGGTGGGGAAGGAAGGGAGGCAGATGATTTCTACCCAACCCTGTGCCCACCTCCACCGATATCAGTCTACGGACAATGCGCCATGTGGACTGGAAACGTACCTTGGGGAATGCTGAGTTGGGTGGATGTGACCCGTTTAGCTCCTGGATGAATCGCAGAAGTGGACCTTCAAAATGTCACTCATAGCACGCTCGGCTCACTGCAACCTCTGCCTCCCAGGCTCAAGTGACCCTCCCACCCTAGCGTCCCAAGTAGCTGGGACCACAGGAGTGTGCCACCACGCTCCACTAATTTTTTCATTTTTTGTAGAAACAAGGTCTCACTATATTGCCCAGTCTTGTCTCAAACTCCTGGACTCAAGGGATCCCCCTGCCTCAGCCTCCCAAAGTGCAAGGATTACAGACATGGGCCCCTGCACCTGGCCTGAAACTGTTATTTATTTTTCAGTGCCCACTTCCATGGGAAATGAGCCCGCCAGGTCAGCCTGCCCCATGGGAGTGACTGCCTGCTGCCCCCACAGGCTTGCCCGGCCCTCATGAGCCTCTCCTAGAGACCCCACCAACGATTCTGTTCTTTCATGGTACAAGTTTTCCATCCAAGGATTTCAAAGCATTTCCCACACCAATAATTAGAAGTATTTTCATAGAGGACCATACACTTTTAAAATAGATTTCAAAGAACAAAAACCAATCAACTATCACCCAGGTAACAGAAAATGGGAAATAGTTTCTACCTGACTTCCAAAATGCTCTGCACATAGACTGTGAAAATAAGACTTTCTAAGCAGGCTGCAGAGGCTTACACCTATAATCCCAACACTTTGGGAGGCTGAGACAAGAGGATCACTTCAGCCCAGGAGTTCAAAACCAGCCTGGACAATATAGGGAGACATTGTTTCCACAAAAAATAAAAATGTTAGCCAGGCAGGCATGGTGACATGCACCTGGAGTCTCAGCTACTTAGGAGGCTGAGGTGGGAAGATTGTTTGAACCTAGCAGGTCCATACTGGAGTGAGCTGTGACTGTGCCACTGCACTCCAGCTTGGCGACAGCAAGATCCTGTCTCAAACAACAACAACATCAAAAAACACAGAACTTTTAAAATAAGTACATTCACTCCCACAAGCTATGTAGATTATTACTCTCAAGCTATTAAAAGACCAAGCCAAAATAATTACGGGCTGCTCTCGACCACTTGTAGGAAGGGACAGAGAGGTCTGGTCACATTCCTGGAAATTAGAGCTTCAGCTCTGAAAATGATCATCCTGACTGTATCTCCAAGCATCAGTCTGCACTTTGTACCGAGCAAGAAAAAGCCGTGTGGAGGCCGCCTCCCACCCAGCCGAGCCCTCCGCGTGGACAAGCTCTGCTTTTTATGAGCGGCGGGTACAGCCTCGCTGCTCCCTCTGCCTGCGTGAGATTCACGAACAAGCTGGGAAACGTGGTCTCAAACAACATTCCACAAGGGGCACCCATCGAAAGACAGTCACAGCCGGGTGAGCAGGTCAGGCCCATGTGGGAGGCCCCAAGGAGTATGCTGCAGGGGTGGGGCCTGAGCCACCCCCTCGGGTTGGTCTCTGACAACTAGAGAACATCTGAGAGGTGGATAAAAGCTCATTCACTTACCCTGACCTCAGTGTCCTCATCTTAAAATGGGTTTCCTGAATCTTTCCCAAGCTTCGTGGCAATGAAGTAAGATGATGTATGCAAACGTTCTCCACATAGTAAAGCACTAACTAACATGTGACTGTCATCTGTTTTCCACTAGACAGATCCCAAGCTGGAAGGGTGATGGAAGGTATTTCAGATACAAGTGACTCAAGCAAAGCTTGATAAACTGGGGGCTGGAAAAAATGCACATTGACACAAAGCCTGGAGTGACTGCAGCACGGGCAGATGAGGCTAGCCACAGAAGCCGGGAGAGGAGTGGCTGGGGGCAAATATAGCAGCCAAAAAGGATAAGGTGGTGACAGCTATGCGACTCTCCAGTTAAAGGAAGGTCAACAGAGTAACGAAGAAGACCATTGACTCATCCGGTCAGGGTCTCTGCACTTTCCATACATCTCACCAAACGCTTTTCCCATGTTACCTCATTTGCACCTCACAGCAGCGCTCGGAAGTCCTAGGCTGTCAGAGTATTTTTCCCGCTGAGGGCAGTAGGAAGGCGCTGCTCAGAGAGGTAACAGATCACGCTCAGAGGCCAACAGCGGCTGGTCCCACCACACAGAGGATGTGGACTGCACTTCTACAGTTCTCTAGTGCATTTGATCCCTGAAGCCAGTAATGAGCACAGCAGGAACACCCCAACTGTCCCAGTGTTCACAGGATCCAGGGGCAATGCTGGTGAGATGCTGTTCCATTTCTGCACATGGCTGACGATGCGTTTTCCCAGGCAATATTCACTGAGCGCCATCAACTGTTAGGGGCTGGGGCCATAGCTGTGAACAAAACAAAACCTCAGGCTTCATACTGAAGGAGGCCGACTCTCAACAGATCCGTGTAGGTGGTACCTGCTGCAGGTAATTTAAATGGAGGAAAATAAGACATCGTGAGGGAAGCGGGAAATTGCAATGTAACTAACATGGGGTGGCCAGGGAGGGCCTCTGCTAAGAGATCCGGAGGACACAGGGCAGCAAACACACGGGTCTCTTTGGGAAGCATCCTAGTGAGAGGGAAAGGCCAGGACGCCAGACAGTCAGGGTGAGAAAGGGGGAGATGGGGCCAAGGAGGGCGTGGCTGGGACAGACACACAGGCCGCTGTGAGGATTCATGGTTTGAAGATGGAATTCCGGCATCTGCGCTCCAGCATTTGTTCTGCCCTCTGGTGGACCCGAAGTCAGTCTATTTTCCACTTGAGAAAGCTTCGAATCGCTGAGAACAACAGGTCCCAGTTCCGACGTTATCCTCCTGCTCCACAGCCCCACATTCCTTCACACATTCAGCATTAAGCAATTACTGCATACCGCCCTACTCGATACAGGCTGCCTTCAACATCCCTAAGAAAACACATGCTCTGACAGTCAGGCAGCAGTGACTGTGCTGGGAGCCTCCGTCAGGCAGGAACAATATTCCAGTCCACAGTGTCCTCCCAGAAGGCAGATGGCCCCCTGTCCTCAGTGCAGCCCCCGACATGGCTGAGCCGTGGGACCACTGTTCTGGACACCACATTATTGCTCAAGTGACTTAGCTTTTTAACAGCCCTATCACTTTTGCTCATTTCAAAATGAAAAGGCAACCAATGTGATTTTTGTAATTATAGAGTATACAAATACATTTTCACTTACATAAAACAGGAGTATACGAAATCAAAAGTGAAAGTCTCATTTCACTCCCATGCTTGGAAGTTTCAGTGTTGACATCTGAATTACGTCCTTCCAGTCTTTTC